AGACAGAAGATAGGATCAGGCAAGAATCGTCTGATGGCACAAGTGCACATCTCACATCCCTTAAGATGGCGATTTTGTCCCTATCTTTGAGCATTGTGCTTCCCTCGAGTCTAGATCCTTCCACCTTCTACCACTGGACTGAAGACCTTCCTCTAGTTCTCCTCCATTTCTATGAAGTCGCAGCAATGCTCAATCGCTTGGATCTTTTGACGGTGTCCTTCACCGAGGGTTACAAATCGAGTGACGACACAGCGGTGAGACCATGACTCTTAAGCGGCATTCTCGCCGCATCGCACACAACCACAGCGGATAGACGTTGTTTCGGTGGAATGGTGGTGTCGAGGAGGTTGTCGGCGGCGTAAGTATTTTTGTAAAAACCGTAACCCTAATTTTTTTTGTTTCAGGTAAGTTTGGTAGATATATTTAGAAAACGATATTGTATTTTTTAGTTGTAAAGTTCATAACTTGTGATGGTAGATTTATTTGAAAAATGTATGTAGTTTGGTAGATTATTAGTTATTTGATGGTAGATATATTTGGAAAATGATATGTGGTTTGGTAGATTTATTAGTTATTTCATGGTAAATTTATTTAAAAAACAATGTGGTTTGGTAGATTTATTAGTCATCTGATGGTAGACTTATTTGAAAACAATGTGATTTGATAGATTTATTAGTCATTTGATGGTAACTTATTTGAAAAACTATATGTGGTTTGGTAGTTTTATTAGTTCTTTGATGGTAGATTTATCAGTCGTATATATTTGAATTTTATATACGAATGACAGTATTTGTTTATTTTTTTTGACAGATTATGAGCTTTGCCATGGTGAACAAATCTCTGATGGGATATCCAGCATCAATCCGACGTATTTTTACTATGAATTGTAGATTTGCATTTGGTAGATTTGTTTTGAAATAATAGTATTATTATTAAATTGATGATATATCTATATTTGTAAAAATTATAATTAGATTTTAAATGATAATATTTTTTCTTAAATTATATTTATCGTAAAACATTGACCCAAAAATTTCACATTTTTACCACATTTGCTAGTAATGTTATTATTCAATTTAATTTATTTTCTTTACTTTATGATGTATATCCTAACTGAATAAAATTTTAATCAAAACACATTACTAAAATTATTTGACATTGTGATGTTGTAAGGGTTTATGTAAATAGAGTTAAATGTAACAAATATTCAAAAATCAATATCAAAAGATCATAAGTTAAGAGATGGTTATTATAGACAAAAACAAAAAGGACATAAGATAAATGTTTAAGTGAACTAATATGATATATATGTTCAAGATTAATATGAAAAACAAAGTTATCTTAGAGAAAAAAATTATCATAGAAAAAATATTCATGTTAGAAATATTTGACTATTGCTTGTAGCGTATATACCGTAAATACTAATAATCATCTGTGATCGAATCACAGTTAACCGACATAATCTCAGCAAACTCATGCAAAGAAAACGTCAATGGTAACAAAACCAACTCAAATATAACCATGGAACAAGTCTACCATATGTACAAAACATGTTTAACATACGACACTCCAAAACAAGTTTACCACATTTTTGGTTTTTTCGTAGATTGCAGAATACATTTACAGCAAATAAATAATTTCAATCCAAAGAGTCAAATGTCTACCAAACACATTACAACTAAATATACCTCAAGCATTGTAAATAACTCTACCATAGACACAAGTCTACCATCAAGCACCACAAATGTCTACCAGATCGAGGTTATCTGACTAAATACCAAAATTATTTAATATACCACATGAAGCCCAATAGAAGTCTACCATACGTGTAATAACTCTACCAACGGCTCTTAAATCTACTAAAAAAACAAAAAATCTATCAATTTTTTTATAAGTCTACCTCATGTAACAGTTAATCTACCACTTAACGAAATGAAAACACCAAATTTTTACTTGAATTTAAATCTACCACATTACATAAAAATCTACCACAAGAGTGAAAAATCTACCAACTGGATATAACTCTACCAATTCCATAAATAATTTACCACAAAAAAGATAAATCTACCGTCAAGTTATGATAAATTTTTGTAAATAAATTTACCACCAAAGGAAATAAGTCTACCAATTCGGGTATTAAATCTACCCCATTGTCAACAAATCTACCGACAAAGTCAACTATGCGAGTAAATCAACGATTTCCTTAACAAGTTTACCAACACATTGGATAAGTGTGCGATACATAACAACAAATCTATCGAATAAATCTACCATCGTCCTAACAACTCTGCCATCCAAAATATTGCGTTGACCAAAATTTGATAACTCTACCGTTAAAGCCTGGTAGACTTATCGTTTTTTAAGCGCTACTTTTTTGCCTACGTGGTACAAAAAAAATAATGGCATTTTTGTAATTAGGATTTTTTCATCAAAGCCAAAAGGGGTATTTTGGGTATACTAGGTTAGTTTCGTAATAAAAATAAAAGTATGCCAAACAAATAATAAAGATACATTTAAAGGTTAGTACAGTAATCCTCCCACATTTCTATTTGTGAGGGTAAAATTAAACGCTTACCGAAAAGAAAATTAAACTTAAGAAATATTTTTCCAAAAAAAAACAATTTAAAAAAATATTTTTCTCTAAATAGTATATATGAAACGAACTCTTTAAAAATTGATTTGAATATCTCACTCTCTTCTCTCACTTCAATCTTGAGAGAGAACATTTTTTTCTCCCAATTGTAAATACTTTAATTAATATCAGAGCTTTTTTTTCTAGTAATCGGATAAATAATCTCCAGTTTTAATCAGATAATAATCTTTCGACATGATCGAATTGTGTTTTCCCTTTCTCCTCTATGTTTGGGTTCTCTTGTAGTTGAGACGGTGCTTCAGATTCGGTGTAAGTGCTCTGATTCTTCTTCTTCAATTTTGGTATCATCTTTCTCTTTAGTGGGAGTAGATCTCCCTATAGTCCCTATTACAAGCCTGTGCGGTAAAAAGGATGAGTTTTGAGTAAGATGATCGGCAATAGAGCTTAACGAAGAAGCTAGTTTTCTGACCACAATTACTCACTGAATCTTAAAAGACGAGTAATTAAACGGTAAAAGAGCAGCGATTTTGAAGAGGATGTAGCCCCGATTGGAGTTGGGTTTTGGTTTTCCGGTGAAGCCTTGAACGTCGACGATGTTGGCGTCATCTTCTCACTGTGAACCAGCATTCACCCCAAGCTTCCACATGTTAACACGTGTTTTAATTTTGTCATCCTTATCCTTATGATTTAGATCATAATTGGGTTGTAATTTATAAGGTTTGGGTCCCAAAACGTTGTAATTTAGCCGTTTATGGGCTTTCATATAAAATAAATATATAAAAAATTGATTTAAATATTATTTTTTAAATTGAATGTAACATTTTATCCAATCAAAAAACTTTTTCACAACAATGTTGGAACTTTGATATTTATAGAACATATCTTGCGATATTGAAAAAATCATGATCTAGTTAAGTCTCTAAGATAAGTATAATGATGGTGTATCAATGTATTATGTAATGATCTTTCAAAGATTCCTCTTGTTTAATTCTCCCACATTTGACTTCATAACATCTATGAGAACTGAGAAAAAAATATATGAGAACTAAGAAGAAAATATGGTTTTGAGATTCTATGGGAGCTTGGCACAACAAATGGGTTGAAGAATAACATTTTGTAACATACATTTTCCGATAGTTAAATTTATAGAATGAAAAATTGCAGAACATTCTTTTGTGCTATTTGATAAATTTTACATAATGGTGAAATATTTTGTTGGGGTAAACCATATCTAAGAATATAATTCTTATTTATTTTATCATTATTGCCAAAATTAGTTATGATTCAACTAGTGACAATTGATAGAGATAGTAATATTTATGAGAAAATGATAGATACAGAGTTTCTCGTGGACTATATTTCTTCTTTTGAAGCAATCAACCACTTTTTCATAATTTTTCCTTTCCATGGCTTCTTGGAATGAGTTTGGATCTTCATTAATGCTTATGTCATATTCAATTTCAATAGTGTAAGTCATATAGTCCCTTGAAATAGTCGATCTTCTTTCCCTTTCAGATTGCCTTATTTTTTCTTGTGGTACAATGTTCTTGAATTATAATAGGTTCATAAATTGTACTTACAGCTAGTGAACTTTACACACCATCATGTTGTTATATTGTGTCAATAGACCGTGATGCAACGATATGAACTACTACCTTAGGTACAAAGGAAGTTCAACTTGTATTTTTTTAATGTCTACATTT